ATTCAAACATCCATGCTGTCAAAATTAAAGGTGTAGTGGACATAATTCTTTGTTTTTTAGTCCTGGCGCGAACATCTTATTCATTGTCATTACCTACCTACTTTAATTAATAATCATTCTGCATAAAATTATTATTTACATGTACTAATATCTACATTAAATGATTATTAAAGTAATTATTTATCTCTGATTTCAGTAGATTCCTAGATTACTTGCAGAGACATAATTTTCTCTTTACCCCAGATAAGACAAAATCTGGTTCTGATAAAAGCATGAATTCTGTATTTATCTTTATTGTTAGTATATTGATGTGCATAATTAACCACACTGTTGTTGTTGTCAGCTAATTGTTTAAATATATAAAATTAAAATGTTAAATAAATTAGAACATTCGGCTTGAGCGTAGTTCTGCTGCCACCGTCTGTATTAGAGGGAAAAAATGGTAGGGGTGGCCACAGATTGGGTAAGGGTGGCCATGGCCACCCCTGGCCCCCCTTCTAGCTCCGCCACTGCAGAGGACTCCAAAGCGCTTTACATTACATTCACTCATTCAGCCATAGAACTGGTCCAGTGTTTCACAGCCAGATCTGCGTTGCTGCTCCTCAACCATCAGTCACTCTTCTCTCCAGCATGCTGGCAGAGGCCTTCAAAGGGAAGTGTGACTCACCTTTGCACCTAAGTACGGTGGCCGGGAGGCGCAAACCAACATTACCAAATCTAAAACACTTTTACAAGTTCCAAAACAAATGATCATTTCAGAAAACAAATTGCCCCCGTCCGCTGGGGTTCCCAGCCCAGTACCGGAGCTCACAGCTCAGTCCTGCTGCACTGTAGTCGACTAAAATCACGGACGATTTAGAAATTCCCCACAGACATTTTTTTAGGTACAAAAAGTAGGACATGTCCAGGAAAAACAGGACGTCTGGTCACCCTCCCATATCAACAATTTGATGTTTCAGTGAGTGAGTGCTTGTTGCTATGATACCTCTTTGCTCAGCAGCTTGGCTCGTTGTAAACCAACCAATCAGAGCACAGCTCATCTAAATATTCATGATCAAACCATAAAAGGAAGAAAACCTGTGGTTTCATTCTAGGGCTTTTAACCAGGCTGCATTAGGGCTCATAGAACAGCTAATATGCCATTTTCAGCCCAACCAATGTTACACACCCTATTAGAGACCTGAAGGACCAGATACCCGATAGAATCATTCTATCAACCCTTTAACTGTTTTTCGTATTACTCGCCCAATGTACAATGGCAGTTCCTGGGGCCTGTTTCAGAAAGGAGGTTAAGTGAAAACTCTGAGTTTGTTAACCCTGAAATGAGGGAAACTCTGGGTTTTCTGTTTCAGAAAGGGAAGTAAGTTAAACCTGAGAAAGCAGAGTAAGTCAAGCCCGTTTCTGAAAGAGAGGTAACTTAAACTCAGAGTCAGTTACCATGGCAATTTACTCTCTGAACCTAACCTGGTCGGGAGCAGGTTTTCTTCAGAAAATCCAGAGTTTATTTTGGTCTCCTCCCCTTTTTTAAAGAGGAAGTGGTGTTTAAACACCTCATTGATTCTTTGGGGACATACAGTATTCATTGCACACATTTCAGTCACGTAGAGCGCATCAAAGGGAATGAAATGGCATGTCCTTTAATGGATGATCCTGTTTGTAAAGCCAGGTAGCTACTCTACTCCCATGATGTGCTCAAGGCTTACCTGCTTGAATTGTGTTTTTATATTTCATTTTCAGCTGCTGCCATGTTCTTTTGATGCCTGCAGGATTGCATATCCATGAAAACTAAATTAGGTTTAATAAAATACTGTTCTTCCAGTTTCACCTCTGATATTATAACAGTTGGGTAAGTTACTCTAAAATAGTTCTTAATTACTAACTACAAATTTTATCTTCAACAAGTCTAATTAGATTAATGTAATAATTACTGTCTCTAGAAAGTATTGGTCTACTTACTAATTTGTTTTACTTACTTATTAATTACTTTCTAAATCCCAAATCAACCTCAACCACTTGAACAATACAAGGAGAGACAAGAAACTGCACTTCTAATGCTTTCAAATAAACAATATTCAATTGCATGAATTAATCTTAAATTGACCAAAGTGTGTAACTAGAGGGAGAAAGTTCAAATCAAAATATACCTTTTAAAATTTGATATTAAATCCACTATTGTTTTATAGTCTTTAATTTAATTACAGTATTTATATGACTTAAGTAACTTAATTCATTACACCCAACACTGTATAAAAGTAATTAAAATGTAAACTTACGCATTGACTCTAGCAGCTATTTTCACCCAAGCTAACTCTCTCTCCTTCGCCACTGCAGCCGTGTTGCTTTTTTTTTTAAATACATGTTCAAATTCTGCATATGCTTGCATAAGCACATCCAGTTCTGCTGGTGAGTAATATGCACACCTTTATTTGTCTGACGCTGTTGCCTTGGTGACTCATAATATCTGTGCTCCATTGATAATGGCTTTTTATAGTTGTGGTGCACGCGCTCAACTCAGAGTCAGTCAATTTAGAGTTGATTGAACTAACTCATTTCAGCTGTTCTGAAACCCAAAACTCAGAGTTTCCAATCTCAGGATAAGTCAACTCAGAGTTCAAGTTTTAACTCAGAGTTGGTTGAACTTTCTTATTGAAACAGGCCCCTGGTCCGGATGGCTTGAAAGTGCCACGCATTGCGCTCCAGTTTTGTTCACCGAACTTTAGGAAAAAAAAAATGTAAAAAAGAGCTTATTGAACTAACATCTACCTTTTTTTTATTTTTATTTATATGTTTAAATTTCCTTTACCAGAGGTGTTTAGGAGTGTAAGGGCGAGATCTTTCCTTTCCTTCTCGAATGTTTGTTTTCTTAAAATGCTATTTGTTTTGAATTTTTTTGTTTATTTTTTTATGTAATTTTATCTGAAATAATTTGTTTTTGAACTTGTAAAAGTGTTTTAGATTTTGTAATGTTGGTTTGCACCTCCCGGCCACCGTACCTAAGGCACGTCGGCCAGCGTCCAATGAGTCGCCTACGTATAAAATGTCTATGATCAGACCCACATCAAAGCTGCGAGTATTTGCTGCATTGCATTATAGTTTATGTAGTGACTCGGGTGGAAACATCCATAAAAAAAAGTATTTCACCACTTTTAAAGAAGACCAAGTCAGGCACTAGCAGAACCTTTTATTACTAACACTGTAATATATGTATTATGATACAGAAACTACCTGCTTTACAAAAACAAAATGATACAGTATCACAGGTATGTACAGTGTAGTAAATATATCATCTCAAATTGCACACAAAATCTTTACAATTGTCACACATACTGCATTAAAAACAGAACTCGGACTACTCAGACCATACTCAAGACATTAGATTTTGCATAACATCAAAAGAACATGCCAAATTTGGAGGTTTTTCATCTTTAAAAAGCCATGACCCTTCTGAACTTAGTGCAAGTCGTCCGCCTGCTTCATCGGCTCCATGTCTTGCTCATGTTTCAGGAAGAAAAAGCTTCAAGTATGCTGGAGGGAAAAGGGGCGGCTGTGATTCGTTCCAGGATAATAAGGTCTTTATTTCTCTGATAAACAGGAATCTGCAGAAGTTTCTCTGGCGCCCTGAGCTGAGGGCAGCAAATGCCTGCAACCCGACATGTAGGTGACAGAGCGGCCGATGACTCGATGATTCAATCTCAGAGTGTTCATTAAGAGGGGGGAGGGGCTTCATCTGTTGCCCACGGAGTCTGACACCCTGAGTGCCAGTCGTCTGTTAGTTCTGAGGCAGACCTACCGGTCTCGGGTCGCTGGGTTTTAGACCTTTACTGCCAGCTTCACTAGTTTGTCTCATCTTGGATTGAGCCTGAAATCAAAACAGCCTAAACAGACGCTTATCTGTCAGCAGCCTGCCACCTTCTCCTGTCCAGCCAGATAAACACTTGATCTTTCTCCAAGTTAGTCAGGTTCTGCTGGATTCAGTCCTGCAGACATCAAACTCGTTCTCACTTCTATGCATGGTTTTGGTCGCCCGGCGGTCTGAGCTCTGCAGGCACAGAAATCCTTTGAGGACAGCATCTGGGTGGAGAACACATAATGAGCGGCGGTAGGAGAGGCAGACGCACGCCGTTGCTGTACGAAGGGGCAAAGCGTCTGGAGAGCTACAGGTTATTGCCCTTCACATAAATCACAAATAAAACGTTTCGCTGCTAAAAAAAACTGAACTGGTGAGAAAACAGATAAACAATGAAAGCAAAAGATTTGCAGTTATTTACAGGGTTGCATTTCTTATAGTGTTTAGTCATATTCATGGTTAAAGTGTTAAAAAAAAAGCTAGTTTTTTTGGAAAGTGTTTCGAGTACAGGAAGATTTGTGTAGCATCATCTACTTCTACAGAGTAACTAGTGTCAGGCGTGGGGTCAAAGGTTATCGGACCGCCACTGCAGGCAGATCTGGACAGTTTTAGTTCGACGTACGTCGATGTGAGGAGCCCGTCTTCATAATTAGTACCTGTTTATTGTCTCCAGCAAGGTTGGACTCTAACTTTACAAATTGTACATATATAAAACCATACAAAGGCACACCATGGAGAAAACAGCAAGTTTAGCACAAAGGACCGGATGTAGATCATCAGTCTGGACCAACTATGTACAGGACAGAGAGCCAGCGATGTGTCCCAGCAGGTCGGTATGTTGGTCCCGTCACACGGCGCCTGCTGAGCATCCGACCGAACACACGCTTTAGCTTCCAGGCCGAAGTGTCCGCAGCGTCACTTCCTGCAGCGAGGGAAGTCTCTCACACAGAGCCCGGTGCAGATCACGAGCGTTTCCAGAACCTTTGCCGTTTAAAAATCAAATAAAAAGAGCCGCGACTCTGGCGGCTCTGCTCGCCCTCGGAAATATTCCCTCATTCAGATCCCGAACCACTTGTGTTGCAGATGCGAGGAGGATGGAGAAGACGGAGAAACTAGAGAGGAAACAGAGAGGGCAGCGCCAATCGGAGGGCGGTCAGACGATCTTCTTGATGCTGGGTCTCTTAAAGCTGCCGGCGCTGCGCTGCTTCTGCACCTGACTCGCTGACCCGTGGCGAGTCCGTCCCCCGCTGGACAGGGCCGAGCTGGGGGACAGCTGGACGTTCTCCTTATCCACACCTGGAGGGACACAGAGGACAGAGTCTAATGAAGCCTTAGATAGATGCAAGCAACTGGATCAAACTGAATCAGTTTGCCTGGATGATCTAGTCCAGGGGTCGGCAACCTGCGGCTCTTTAGCTCCCCCTTGTGGCTCCCTGGAGCTTTTTCAAAAATTTATGAAAATCTACTTTTTTTTGTTTTAATATGGTGTGCAGGTTGCAAACAAAAATTTATGTTTTCCAATGCTTTAAACATTTGTATTATAAATAAATTTGCGTCAAAGCCATAGAGATCAGTGATCATAACTTGGAACCAGCGTGGCGCGGTGCCAGGCTAACAAAGCTGCAGGTGTGTCTCGGAATATGAATCCCAAAGGGGAAAAAAAGGAAGATTGCTGATGAGAAAAGAGGATTCAAATAGGCCGACTCATTTGGTTTCATTATCAGTGCTGAACGATTGCCTGCATTTTCGCCTTGTAATGAGAGGGTGTCAAAAAAAAAAAAAGAAAAATGTGGAAAGGCATTTCCAGGGAAGGTTAATCTGCAGCCGATCACCAAGCTGGGAGGGAGAGAAAAAGTGTGATTGCAGGATAAATCGGAGGAGCGCAAAGATAGATTTAAGAAGTGGATTGCATTTTCAAACTCCACTACTGCTGCTAGTTTTGTTGCAAGGATGGAAAACCGTCCACAGATCAAACAGGCAGCGCTTTGATGCAGGTTTCTGAACTTTCTTCCATTTTTTCCCCAAATCCTAAAAACATTAATCAGACCAAGGAACGATGGTGACGGAGGATGTGGGATTTCGGGGTTAGAGAGCTCTGCTCTGATGTCACTTCCTGCTTGGTTCCTCATGACTCAATAAACTCCTTCCAACAGAAACACGTCCACCATAGAACGATTCCTTTATTGTTTTTCTATAATTTCAACATTGCTAGAAAACTTAAACCGCGCAGTGAAGGTGGTGAAGCGGCGCTCGATGAAGCGGTGCGCGATGGGAGCGTTCACTGTTCCTCCGTAACCTCAGGCTTCCATGTGACATTTGCTTCAGGATAAACATTTATTGGTGAATGCTTATTATATATTTAAGCCCATATAGTCCTTTTCTATAGTGTGATAATACAGTTAGAACGCGTGTTGCTATACGAGGCTTTTACATTTTTGCGGCTCCAGACAGATTTTTTATTTTTTGGTCCAGTATGGCTCTTTGAGCAGTTTGGGCTGCCGACCCCTGATCTAGTCTAACTGTAAAGTGCCTTGAGATGACTTGTGTTGTGAATTGGCGCCATAGAAATAAAGTGAAATGAATTAACCGGTGTAGCTACCATATCTGCTCGGAGCCTTTCTTATGAAGTCATCATTTGGCAACGGCACCCAGACAAACTGTATTTCACCTGTTTCTGAAGAATCAAATCTCTTCCAGAGTCTAAACATATTATTCCCCATATCTGCTTTTATTTTACATTTCCTCTGCGATCTGAAGTAGTCGAAACTAGAAAACAATCATTGTCAGTCTTGAAGGGAAGCACTGCCTTCTAAGACAGACTGCCATTTAAAGGTACACTATGCAACCGGTGTTGATTTTCCAGCGAGGCTCCCCCCAGAGGGCGAAAGTAAAAGCGCACTGTCGTAAATATGCTCAGCTGTTCTCCTGGTTTCTCCGTCAAGCCAGGCGCGGTTGTTTTGAGCTTAGCAGACAGGCGAACGCAACGAATCACCATGTCTACTGCGGTAAGTGACTATTTTGTTGTTTTGTTTCCATACATTATTTGTTATGCATGTGTCTAAATAACAAAGATTGTAGTTAGCCAAGTTCTCGCCGTAAAGCAAGACTGACTCTCGCGATGCACGAGACTTCTGAGCCTATGGGTGCGGGCCGAGGGCTCCTGCAGTTGCAAGCGCGGTATTTCCCCTACAGACCACCAGGGCAGCCGAGAAAACCTTTGTTTGACCTGAAATGACTCATTTAATCATTCAAAACGTTATGGAACACATTAATTAACTGAAAAATGTTGCATAGTATGCCTTTAAAAAGGTGAAAAAAATATCAGTGCTTCTTCTTATTAAGATCTGAGGGCAGCAGAGGAAAAACATCTTAAAAAACTAATTTCTTAGAGATTTTAGACAAAGAAAACAGTTATTCTACTTGTGGAAAACAAACTTGTTTCAGGAGCAAAACATCTGAAGACAAAACATTGTGGAGGAAATGTACAGAAAGCTTCTACCGCCACACCTTTGCTGAACAATTAAAAACAGGCCAGAAGTTAATGAAATAAATGTTTGTTGACCTGAACACTGCAACATAAAACTGCCTAATAGATCCTAAGAAGTTCAGGTTCTGGGACCGAGCGGTCTGACCTGGAGAATGCTGCGATGTGGCCAGTGAGGTCATGGAGTTGGACAGGTTCAGGTTGGCAGTGATGCTCAGCTGGCTCTGGCTGCTGGGAGGATATGGGGAGGTGGGCGTCCGCAGCTGCTCCTCTCCCCTCTCCTCATCCGCTGTGGGCAGGTAGCTGTCAATCAACGCTTCCAGGAACTTCACGATCAGTTCGGCGTAATCTGGGATCTGGGTTTGCTGCAGGAACCAAAAACATCAACATCAATCCTGCAGCGTAATGAAATCAGAAATCATTGGCCAGATCTGTTCCCACTGTTGATCCAAACTGTTTTCTGATGGAATTCAAGAAAGAACCAACTCTTAAAATCAAACACATGGGGTTAGATTAAGCAGAACATCGGCAGTGAGTAGAAAAACCTCTACTTTGGTTCCTCCTTTAAAGAACTCAGCCTGGAGAAATCATTCCTCAGCCTCACTACTTCCACCTCTAGTTGATTTAAACTGAGGTGCAGTTTGAATTGTGCAGGGATGCTTTCCTTTTCCTGACATAGTTTTAGCAAACCGCAAATCAGTAATATCTTATAGGCAGGGGTGGGTTTTGGAAATTTGGGGCTCTAGGCAAAGACAGGCAGGGGGCCCTAAAACTGAAAGGACAACATAAAACAGAACCATTCTACAGATAGAGAAATGTTAATAAAATAGACATCCATTATCTGTTCTAGGTTGTGTCCCTCTCTTCTTGTCCCTTTTCTTCTTGTTTTCCTCTCTATGTTTTGTACTCAGCTGACTTTTCATGCTGTCTCTAAAGGAATGAAAGATTTTTTCCAAGCACTAAGCTCACTTAGCTGATTGCTCCTTCCTGTGTTTCCAAAAAGGCCAAAGCAAATAATCCAGTCCTTCTTTTCACTGTAGACAAGCCATGATCTGCTTATCTGTTCTCCATTTTTCATTTGGATGAAATAATAGCTGCATGAATCATGACAGCAGACAAGATAGAGGAGAGCAGGAGGCGGGGTTACCAATCTACTTGCTCTGGAGAGCAGAGTTCGCTGCTTTTAGATGTTGTCTCCAAAGTTTCCAGTAGCAGAAAAAAGCCACTAGCTTATGGCCAAGCTCCATCTGATATCAGAGATCTGATTGTTCCTTATGTTCCTAACAGAGCACTTCATTCTCAATCTGCAGGTTTACTAGTGGTTCCTAGAATTTCTAAAAGTAGAATGGGAGGCAGATCTTTTAGTTATCAGGCTCCTCTCCTGTGGAACCAACTACCAGTTTTAGTCCGTGAGGCAAGCACCCTGTCTACTTTTAAGGCTAGGCTTAAAACTTTCCTTTTTGATAAAGCTTATAGTTAGAGTGGCTCAGGTTATCCTGAGCTATCTCTATAGTTCTGCTGCTATAGGCTTAGACTGCTGGAGGACATAGGGACCACCATTTCATCATTCTGCTTCATTCTATCTCTATTCTCCTATTCTGCAGAATCTGTTAGTTCAATCTCTAACGTTCTTCTCTCTCTGCTTTTTCTCATAGTAGCTTCATCTGGTCTGTTCCTGTTTGGCTGTGACTCCATCCTGGAGAGAAACATCAGCTGTGCTGCTGCCATCAACACCTTCGTTTCTAGATGTTTGAGATCGGCCTGTTTTTCAGTGTAGTCCTGTTTCTCTGACTGTGACTGAATGTGTCCTCTGACATGGGAGCTGGATCGTCTTTCATCTCTGCTTCTGTCTCCTTGAACCCCAGTCGGCCTCAGCAGATGGCCGCTCACACTGAGCCTGGTTCTGCTGGAGGTTTCTTCCTGTTAAAAGGGAGTTTTTCCTCTCCAAGGTCACTACAAAGATGCTATGTGTGAGGGATTGCTGTTGAGGCAATGCAATCAACTGGTTTTCCTTAGATAGAAACCTTTTAATCACTCTGACTGTATGATCTGGTTGAACTGGCTCTGTAAAGCGTCTTAAAATGACATGTGTTGTGAATTGGCACTTTAGAAATAAACTGAATAGAATTTTTGTCACTAATATCTTTAATGTGGAGAATCTACATACTTTGACGAGTATGTGTCCTTCATTCATTGTCACAGCAGTAAGCACTAGCTGAGGTTATTTCCATACCTTAGAAAAAGGTCCAGCAAATCTCCAGAGTCCATTAAAGCCAAAGCCTGAGAAAAGAAGATCATTAAGAGATAGGAATCCATTAGGAGGAGGTGAAAGCTCCACTTTACTACAGCTGGCATCATCTCAAAGTGCAAAGCAGAAAAGATGTCATACTTTGTAAATATGAGGGCTGGTACTGAGGAGGGGACTCCTCGTGGTACACCACGCTCTGCACAATCCCATGGACAGGGTTCAGGAGGTTGATGTCTTGGCACATGGACAGCACCGTGTTGATTTTGGAGTCCAACAGGTTATAGCTGAGGAGAAAACATAGAAACACACTGAAAACCTGAGCTGCAGCCAAACATGGGGCTTATGGCACATCCACTGACGAAGAGTTATACTTCAAAAAAGATTGGCCTCACTAGGGCTAACGTTAGCCTGTCGGCAGCAGCCCTCTCTCTGCATAGCCATGTGAAGTACTGCTGGCTCTGATGGACGTTGGATTGTTTTATTTGGCAAAATGTTCATTTGATTTGTGTTTATCTGACTTTCTTAATAATTTTTTCCCCCAATAAACTATATATATCCCATGCACCTTCTTCTTCCTTTGATTTCACATTATTCTTTTCCATTTGACTATTTGAGCTGATGTAACGACTACATTTGTCTACTGTGAAATCAATAAAGTCAATCAATCAATGTAGAACTTACACGACCGGAAAAACTTTTGGAAATACAACACTAGCTTCAGCCAGGTACTCGTACAGGATGCGTTGGTCGAAGTCGTCTGTGGTGTATTTGACCTGGGTGGCCTGCAGAGGAGGAAAGGAGGTTGATGAGAACAGCCACAGGTTGGAGGAGAGACGAGGACTGGGCCTGAGCACTCACCAGCACAGTGAGCAGCAGAGCCTGGATCTTTGGGTCCGTCAGCACCTCCTCATCCAGCAGGACATTGGACTCTGATACGGAGACCTTCCGAAGGTGAGAGTTTCCAATTCTTTGGGTTTCTTTAACAGGAGGGAATGAGATCAGGGCATTAAAGAAAAAATTTGGGGAAGAAAAGAAAGAAAACAGGGAAATCCACATCGGAAGCAGCATGAAGGTTCTGTTCTAAAGGAATCTTAGTGAAATGGGCAAATTACTGTACTGCTAAAAAAATTTATATAAATAGGTCTTTTATTTATTTATTTTTTTTAAATAAGTGCATTTTTTCTTGAATTGAGGAGGTAATTGGGACACTATCCCAATAGGGGGTTTTCAGGTGACGTCACGCTCACGTGACTACTCAGCGCGTCCGCCATATTGGGTGGCAGCCTTAGGCAGTATTGACGGTGAAAAATGGTGAAAACGTGTGTAATTGTTGGTTGCACGGCCCGTGGAGGTGGAGATCAACGCTCTTTCTATCGCATACCAGCCGTAATCATGAATCAATGTGAACAAAACAAAACAAAACAGCTATCTGAACAACGCCCTCACCTATGGCTGACACGGATATCCAGGTCCGATTTGGACGGTGTTAAGCTGGAATACGCCAGAGTCTGCAGTGCTCACTTTGTCACAGGTAATTAACTGTCAAGCATTTAAAACATGTAAGAATATATTAATAATAGGGCTTGGGCGTCATGACGTATTACTTTCCGTGGCCGCAATGTTGACTGCCTCCGCCGCCGCTACTCAGACTACTGCCTATGACTACCGCGTACTGGACTCCCTCTCTCAGCCGTGTTTTAATTTGATTAATTTCACCTTAACTTGATTTCAACCAGCGGGAAAAGGCTCAAATATGTGAGAAACCTGGAGGGTTGGCAGTTAACGTTACTAACCAAACCTTTGAAATACATAGCAGCTAGTTAAAAGTACATTACATGCCTGAGTGGTTGTTAGCACTAACGGTTAGCACTGTTTGCTGGCTTTATGAGCTGCAGCTCCTGAACCCATCCATTCGTAAACTGCACATGAGACTCCAAGGACTTGTAGCTTTGGAACTGTTCGCGCACGCCGGCCGTTAGCCACCTAGCATAGCGAGCCCTGCGTCGGATTGTTTACATTTTTACCATCTTATTAAAACTCACCCGTCCACGTATGATGCCGATTTCCTTCATGTACATCACTTCGACATCTCGTACCCAACCAGATGTGAACTGGTTGTGAGCCTCTAGACCCTTGTACGCTCTCATTTCCTCAAGAGTGTGCAGAGGGTTTTCACTGAACACCGGGTAATGAACTATGTCACCATGCTCTACATTTGGCCAATCATCTGGATTAGTGCTAAACAAGGCACCGTGGAGGGCATAGGGGTCCATATGGTCGATCACGGAACATTTCCTCAGATATGTTCCATGATCTGGTGGCTCTAGCATGCTGGCGTACTTATCCATTCGCGACATGATATATATGATATACGATAATATGCCACCCAAGATGGCTGACTGGGAGCTGGCCAGTGACGTCACTGAAAACCCCCTATTGAACAAGACAATTTACATTTAAAAGTCAGAAAAAAAAACAATTGTATTGTCTTATTTCAAGTACATATTATCTAATTAACTTATTTTAAGAGTAAGTTTACTAATTTCATTGGCAAAACATCTTATTTACCTTCTCAAAATAAAGGTAAATAATTAATTTAAGAAATGTTAACTTATTTCTAGATGTTTTAGTGTGCTAAGGTTCTGTTAGAGGCTTCTAGAAGCTTCAGTTCCTTTCCTAGGAGTGTGTTGTTGTTTTTTTAAGCCGCTGCTGATGTGTGTTTCCTGTTCAGAGAACATCTGCTAAGATCTGTTCTGTTACCGATCTCACGGTCATTCTCTGCTACACGCCTCATCTTGGGAGGGGTTGTCATCCCAGACTCCATCTCTGGTCTTTTTGGTGCTTTGGAGTCTGATATGAGATGATCAAAGCTCTTCCTGGTGCCTGACCAACACACAGACAATGTATGAATCAGAAAACCTTTAGATGAAAGGTGCAGGACTGCTGATGACCGGACCCCTCCCATACCCAGAAGCTTCTTGGTGTTGGCCTGCGAAGGCTGGCCCATGTCCAGGCTCATGGATTTGCGTGTGCGTGGGCTGATCTGGCCCATCGTAGGGTAATGGGTGGTAAGGTGGTGGTCTGGGACCTGAGGAGACGTCCAAGGCTGAAGATCTTGCACAGTTCTGAAAAATCAAGCATTCAAAGCAGACATGTCAGCTGTTCAGCCTAAATCGATCTTGGATGGATGTCAAGCCGGCCCCCATTTCTGGGTGTACCTGCAGGCGGCATTGGTGATGTGACTGGCATAGGTCTCCATGGGAACGGGGTCCATAGAAAGCTCGGAAATCAGCAGAGACTTCCTGTGTTTGAGGCTGCAGCGACTTCTGACTTCCTCAGAAACCGTCAGCAAAGCTGCAGAAAAGGTGAAGGTAGCAGCAGAGGTCAACCTCTGGGTCAGATAGGAGCAAAATAAACGGAACATGAAGGTTTCTCATGTTTTTATTCAGTCTGTTGGTCTAAACACTAACGGGGCTTTTAGAAACGTAAACACTGCATGCAGTGGTGGAAAGTAACAAAGTACATTTACTTAATTACTGTACTTCAAGGAAAAGTCCGGTTATATTTAGAATTCAAACTTCTGAAAGTACTAAAAGTGAAGTGTTTTTAATTAAGAGTAATTTTAATCTGAACGTGCTTTACTGGAGGCTTCCATGTTTGTCAAAGAACACTACTGGGGGGGTGGGGGTTATTTTAGTTCCTTTTGGCCCAGCTAAGCTTTTTAATCCAATGTTGTTTGTCTTTGCTGAAATGCAATTTCATCATGGCAGTTGGACACCACTGTTTTAGAGATTTTTAGACATTTCAAAGATGTGAGAAACTCAGAGCAGATATTATTGGTAGTTTATACATTTTATTAAGGAGTTAGTTGTTTCCATGTGACCAAGTTGTTCAATAGGATGAGTTCTCAATTAAGGCTGGGTAAAAAAAATCCGATTTAATCGATTTTGTATTGAGTCCTTTACATTTGAGCAAAATCGAGGCGTAATGAATGAGATCGATTAGTTTTATAGTGATGCGCGTGACGTTCACATTCAAATGAGCAGGCGTGTGCAAATGCCGACCCAAGTAACACACCGCTCAGCAAGCTGTCCCAACTGAAGTCTGATGTCTGGAACCATTTTGGATTTAAAGATAATGTGCTGGATATGTGGCATTAAGGCGACTTCCCTCTCCATTGATAATGAATGGCACCTTGTATCTCGTCCTACAGACCACCGAGATGACTTCAAGCCAGACAGCTGCAAATATAGCCAATAGGTTGACTGAACACATTAACAAACGCGGGCTAACCAGCAAACACCCTGTAGTTGTTACAGACAACACTGCAAATACGGTTTGTGCAGGAAGATAATGCAGCCCCTGCATGTCTGCTGTGTTCTTGCTGTGTCAGAGCTACTTCCTCGTGTGAGGCTTCACTTGTTCACTTTTCACAAACAAGTTTGCGCTTTTGAGACAATTTTGTTCACATCTCATGTTTAAACTGTCTGATTTACAAGTTTGCACTTTGTGTTTAATATGACTGGAAAAAAATAAAACACGAGTATTTTTGAAACAAAGCTGAATGAGTTTCATTACTGTAAAAACAGATCGAATCGCAATTAATCGATTTAGAACTGCATGAATCAAATCGAATTGATTCAGGACTTGGGTGAAAATACCCAGCCCTATTCTCAATGCAGAGTTATATTTTCTAATAGATTCAACCTTAATCCTCTATTCCAGCATCTTCAATGTTTTCCAGGCCAAGGACCCAAACTGATGGCGAGATGGAGCGGGGACCCCCTAATTACTTATATTCAGTGTTGGGTAAGTTACTTTAAAAATGTAATCCGTTACAGTTACAAGTTACCTTGTTTAAAATGTAATTGTAGTGTAACTTTTTGGATTACTTTTAAAAAGTAATGTAACTAATTACTTTTGATTACTTTTTGATTACTTTAAGGTTTTAATGAGTATTGACCCCTGTTCAACATTTAATTTTTGAGAACTGAATGTGAACCTTAAAAAAGCACTAAGCTGAGAGGGAATTGCTGACAGGCGATCACAGGATGTCCACAAGAAGAGATGCCAGCACCAGGCATGGAAGATTTTCTCAGACTCCTCTCATCGGGCCACACAAGCAGGTTCAGAAACCTCCTTAAATTTCCAGTGCTGGAAGGCTGTCATTTTTGATGCGCTGCTTGAGCTGGAATAGAACCGTCCGCTCGCTTGCTGTTCCTCAAGGAGGCTCCACCAGCACAGGATGGATCATCAGAGTGGTAAATATGATAGAGACAAGGAACCGTAGCGGAAAACTGCGATACAGGGTGCGAAGCAATAAAAATATCATTACATATTTCGCAAAGGTTTTTCTTTATATTTTTTTTAAATGTAACTAAATTTGTAATTCTTAATATTTTCGTAAGTAACTGTAACTGAATTACATATTTTCTCATTGTAACTGTAACAAATTACAGTTACTCTTTTTTTGTAATTAAATTACGTAATGTCATTACATGTAATCCATTACTCCCCAACACTGCTTATATTGTATGAAATTGTTTTATATCAAACTGGTCCTATAGTCACTCTATTACAGATGGAGAAATGTAAATAAAGTAATTTCTCCCTGGGATTATTAAAGTATTTCTGATTCTGATTCCTCGTTGGTGGGACAGGTGTTGTGAATGAAACGGTGACCACCAATGTATGCATTAATGACTGAAAGAAATCTTCTGCCTTCATATATCTGTTTACTACAGTGTGCTGAATTTATGTTCATGTGATCTTTAAGACATTTAATTACTGGAAAAATTTGCAGGGGGGGAATATAAAAAAAAGTGTAATCAACCAAAACTTTCGTGACCCCAATGCAGTACCTGCGCGGACCCCCTAGGGGTCGCAGACCCTCTGTTGAAGACCTCTGCTCTATTCCACATTCAAAGCGTGAGGAGAATCAAGACTTCTTTTTTCTTTTCTTTGTTTTTAAATTGGAAAAAATCAAACCAGCTGTTCTTACATTTTGTGGCATTTTTATGCTGAAGTTCTTTCCAAGTGGTGTCGAATCTATAGCAGCAATATATCAAGTGGTTTCTTAAAGTTACAAGGTCCGTAAAAATTACTCTGAAAATTATACAGAAATGTTCTGATGTTAGAAAATTTTATTTGTATTTTTGAAAACTTAAATACTTTTTAATGAATGTACTTTTCAATACTTCAGCGTTTTTAAAAGTGAGTACTTTAATACTTTAACCAGTAGATGTTTGACCAGGTAACTTTTACTTTACTAGTAAGATCAAAGTATGAATACATTTAATCAAGTATTATATTTGAGTACTTCAGACACTGCCTGCATGCAATGTGCAGCTACACTGTGGAGCTTCCATCTTTCTAGGGTTCTGTGACCTGGAGGAACCATGACCCCTACTGGTTCTGTCCATCATCCTGAGGTCTGAACTGGGAATATTGTGGGGAAAATCCAGACTGAACATGGCTAATCGTCCTGATAGCCAAACCAGCTGAGGTGGGATATATTTCAGCCCCTAGCCGACCAGAAAAACGGTTTACTTCAGAAGCTCCACACGGTTTCCTGGAATGAAGGTGTTCTTCAGAATTGTCAAAATTAATTTTTATTACTCAAGTGTTTTAGGAAATTATGGGACATCAGGCATACGTGGGCTAAATCGTTAAGGTGTGACAGAGGCTTAAGGAAACAAAGTATTTGTACTTTATAACTTGCACTGGAAAAAAATCAAAATCTAGATAAGTAATTTTTTCTTAAAATACGTTCATTTGTTCTTGGATTGAGGAGATAAAAGAGATATTTTTTTTATTTATTTATTTTTATTTATGTGTTTATTTGAACAGGGACAGTGCACATTAATAAACATTTCTGTAAATGAGCCAGTGTTAGCTAAGTAGCTAATTTTCAACTGTAGTCCCTGGGCAAGGTTTAAAATGCCATTTTACCAATGGAGCAAGACATTTTACATTTAAAATAAGAAAACACAATTGCATTGTCTTATTTCAAGTGCATATTATCGAAATATCTTATTTTAAGAGTAAAAATATTTATTCCATTGGCAAACTATCTTATTTACCTACTCAAATTAAGGGTAAATACACCTAATTAAATACATTTTTACTTATTTCTAGATCGTTTTTTCAGTGTGAAACCTCGGGATTTGGTTTTGTTGTCGCTCTCTATGTCCCTAAAACAGGCCTGGTTGCACTGCTGGTGTTCAGCAAAGGATGGTATATCATCATCTTACTGTCTAGTTCAGGGGTCTTCAACGTTTTCAAAGCCAAGGACCCCCAAACTGATTGCGAGATGGAGCAGGGACCCCCTAATTATATATATTGTATGAAATTGTGTTATATCAAACTGGTCCTATAGTCACTCTATTACATATGGAGTCATGTAATGAAAGTAATTTCTCCCTGGGATTATTAAAGTATTTCTGATTCTGATTCCTGGTTGATGGGACAGGTGTTGTGAATGAAATGGTGCCCAGGTTTGAAAGAGCCCCTGTGTGTCGCTAAATGTGTGCATTGATGACTGAAGGACATCTTCTGCCTCCATTAATATGTTTACTACATTGTGTTGAATTCATGTTAATGTGTATTTCAAGACATTTTAATTAGTGCAAAAAATTGCAGAAGGGAATTTAAAAAAAAGTAATCAACCAAGACCCCCATACAGTACCTCCGTGGACCCCCTAGGGGTCGCGGACCCCCTGTCAGTCTAACTGAAAACAGCGTAGATAGATAGGGGTGCAGACCCCTGGCAGACCTGGTTGCCCTATGGTCTGAAACCACAGCGGTCTGGCCTTTCAGCTCGGTTTTTAAAACAGGATGTCGGATGTTTTGCATGTTGTTTTGTACCTGCTAAATAAGCCACACTCTGAGTGTTGACCTCAAACTTGTCACATTTCAGATGTTTGCTAGTCAGAGCCAACAGGGTGTGAAGGATCCGCACCGTCCTCGCCACAGTGGTGGGTGATGGGTGTCTGTAGCCTGCAGGGACACCAACCAACAGGAGATATGTAAACATGCTGGCTTCCTCGAAAAAAAGCCTCAAAAACCAGACATTATTCTTAGCTTTCTGTGTGAAAGCACTTCCTGTGTTCTGAGTCAGGGTTAATCTAGCAGGAAATCACACCAGGGACTTTAAAATAAAATATGGTGAAGAAGCAAACAGCTTTACCTTTGAGTAAGTGGCCCACTAAAGCAAAGTTGAAGTTGGCACTAAAGTTGAGGCCCACAAAATGATCCATCTGCTTACAGTGCCACTCTAAAGGACGCCTTATTTCCATGAAAACTTCCTCTGGACTCTAAGGAAGCAAAAAAGAACAACAAAACATATTTGGGGAAAAATAAACTGGTGTTCAAAGTCAGCTTTAGGGTAATTTTCTTATGCAAACGTAAACAGTGAATGTCTCAGGTTACGTTAAAACCTATTTTTCTATTCAGCAGTCATCCTCCAGAGGAGGAAGAGCAGGAAGCATCTGCTCGATTTTACCAGATCAACTATGAACTTTTTCTGGTTGTTTCTTTAATAAAGTTTCAAATCTCCCTAAATATAGAAATACTGCATCAGTGACCTTAAAAAAAAAAAGCAAACCAAAAAAAACAAACCAACCTACCTCTGACAGGAGAGGAAAGGCAAAAAATAATTATACAACAAACTATTTTAGAGGCAGTCTGTTACGCAGTTATTTTCATGCATCTATGCTCGAAAACGTCCTGCAACCAAAGTTAGGGCTAACGCTCCAGGGAGACAAAGTTTAGCAGAGCAACGAGACACGGAGCAGCGCCCAGGCCTCCTAGGCTTTACCTTGTCATTGAAGATGCGCATTGTGTCCAGAGTGTGGAGGTTCTGCTCCAAGAGCGCGGTTCCAGCAGAGTACAAGTTGACTTCGTCAAGCTGCAGCACAGCTACTGCCACCCAGAACAGAGCTTTGTGCATCGGAGAGTCCTGCAAACATCAGACAAGAGGCAGATGGTTGAGCAGCAACCGTTACAGCATGCGGTCTGCTTCAGAGACATCTGGACGGGTCAGAACTCCTGAACCTCCCAACACGAAATCAGGAGAGGGTTCAACTAGAGGATTAGGGTTATGGGATGTTCCTGGAATATTCTTAGTCAGGTTGGAAAAGAAGAAAGTAATTTAGCTTCAGCTTTTAATACGGTTAGAATCCGACATTGTCCTGATGACGTTTTGGTTTTCATCTTCAAAAACAGAAAAGATGTGACTCAGTGGAGAGACGTTTCCTACCTTGCTAAGAAGAGGCTGCAGCTTGGTCAAAGCGATGACTGTGGCCTCAATCAGTACCTGACTGTTGTAGTTATCAGGTCCCTTCAAGCAGCTCTCCAGACCCTTGAACATGGGGAAAAAACGGCCATCAGAGGAGGAGCAACACGAGAGCGATGAAAGAGACATTCAAATATCCTTTATTGATCCCACAGGAAAATTAGATGATCATAAACACATCATAAACGGTGGGGGTTGAACTCAGAGGAGAGATGGGATAAAATCTTAGATGTTCAAACTCCTTTTAATGCGGAAAAGCCCAACAAATTTGAAATATTGGATTCGCCATGTGGAGCCCAGTGACAAAAAAGTTCAAGGCTGATGGAAAGTTCTGTGCAGCCTGCTCTTAAAACAAAAGTGTACGGAGTGTTCCCATAATTATCCAATTGGCTCTGAAGCCTTTCCAGCGTATGTAGCTCTGCCTATGTAATCGGGCTAATGTGCTGTGGTACACGGTGCAAATTAGTGTGGCTGGCCAGGCTAGCTAATTACTAAGAACCATATGTGGGTAAATATACCTGCAGCAGAGTCAGAGTAGTTTTTTTGTTTCACTAGACAGAACCTTATCTAGAGGTTTGGTTTCAAACACGTGTCAAACTCAAGGCTCAGGACTATTTATCTGACTTGAGTGCAAAAAAAAGCACATGTAAGAAAGTAGAGCCATGTGTTCTTTTTAGGTAAACAAATTGGCAAAATGATTAAAAAGAAGCTGATAAGCTAAACAGAAACAAATGGATGAGATTCCAGTGGAGCGCGTCCAAACGGTGGTTCAGAAAGAGATTCCTTACCCGGTCTATGCTGAGCAGAGGGCTGGCTTTGCTGAGGATTCGGATGATCTGCTTGATCTGACCGTGGGTCACCCTCTTGCTGATGCAGCCGAAGACGACCAGAGCTCTGGGCTGCAGAGACGGGTTGTACTGGAAGGCAAACCTACAAAGAAACGCAGATGCTGCTAACCCTGCATGGTGAATTAAATGCTTTAATGATTGAATAGCCACATACTTCTGAGCCAGCTCTGTCCACTGGTCCAACCACTTGCAGGTTGGGATGTCTCTCATACAAGCCTGAAGTAAACAGAGGATGAAACAAGCAGCTGTGGCAAACAGACGTCTAATTCACCCAACAACCAGTGATAATGGTAAAAGAATCAGCCTCTAGCAATAAACACACTGCTAAACATCTGCTTAAACAACATTTCTGGGACAATTTCCAGCAAAGACAGGAAGAGAAGATGTTTCTATATTTGTCTGACCTCCATTATTTCCAGTAAGGCCTCGGTGACCGTCTCCAGCGAGGACAGGGCAAAGGTTTCCCTCTCATAGGAGCCTGGAGAGAAGGAGCGGTCTCTGTAGCTGGAGCGGAAGGCAATGACGGCAGCGGACTTCACCTTGCTGATGCCAAACAGCAGGTAGAACTTTGGCAACGAAAACTCCGTCAGACTCAGCCTCAGGACCTGCTTCGTTTCCTCTGAGATAAACCAACACAATAAAACCTGTTTCATCACAAACACCCGGCTGCTTTAATCAGGTTATCTGCTGTATTCAAGCTTCTCAGTGATCAGCAGTAAAGATGCCGGCTTTGCTTACCGCTGAAGCTTAGCTGTGAGCAGGTGCACAGTGAGTGGATGATGTTGATCACCAAACCGTGGGTGGAGGCGCGAAGGGACAGCGGCCCGGTCGCTACCAGAAGGGTCACCACATGGAACAGGTAGGGCAGGTGTGCCGCCACATCCAGAGAGTTGTTGAAGGACAGCATGAGCATGTAGCGGGCCAGGATGGCAATGTCATCCCACATAAGGTGCTGCTCCAGGGTGGGAGTTGGAGAAAGGCAGGTCTTGTCGATGATCTTACACATCCGACCGATAACCTGCAGGAGAACAGAAGCAGCTGAACACCAGCAGCACTTTTCCTCATGCAGGTTCTTCCACAGCTGAGAGAAATAAAACCAGAATAAAGGAGCTTCGTCTCAGCAGAGCCCATCGGGCCACGTTAGGATGACTCAGCGTTTCCCTGCAAAGCTAAATCAAATTGTTGATTCTAAATCAAATCATTTAATTTGAAATCAGTGATCCTATCCTAAATCAGACCATATTTTAATCAGATTTTGTTTCTATTCAATATAAATTAATATTAAATGGTTTACCTTGAAATAAAATAATTTCATGCAAATCAAAATTATCTACTTCAAAATTAAAATAACATTTACTGTAAATTTTGGGACTATAAGCAGCAAATTTTTCCCCATTTTTCGACATTGCGGCTTATATAACAATGCAGCTTATCTATGGACTTTTACAGCCAATGGCCACTAGGGTAATACGGAACCTAAATCTATGGATTTTACCATCGTCCATGTTGACGTCACATTTGCTTCAACACACAAGTAGCCGCGAGCGCAGGAATGCGGACGTCCTCCGGAAGCGAGCGTAAGACAGTTTGTGTGACACCCTCATTATGGAAAACAAATGTTGAAATGCATATGATGCAGCTTTTAAGTTAAAGGCAGTCAATTTGGCAGTAAACAAAGGAAATAGAACCGCTGCACGTAACCTTGGCATCAATGGTGAGACGTTGGAGACGCCAGCAGGAAGAATTGTCTCAATTCAATTGCGTTGAAATTTTAATAAATAGGAGCTTCCCCAAACAGTTGCCTCTTTCCAGACAATCCTCTCTGTGCACGAACCATATGGTAATTAATCATAAAAAACCTGCGGCTTATATTCAGGTGCGGCTTATAGTCCAAAAATTACAGTATATAAAATCTAAATGGATTTAACATTTAATTCAAATTCATTCCATTTGACAGAAATTTAATTTAAAAAATGGACTATCATGTCAGTTAAAATCATTTAATATTTCCATTTTTAATTAAATTATATTTAAATATTTTCATCCTGAATTAAATCCATTGATTCAGGATGAAACATGCAGCGGAAACAACAGAAGATCAAGCATAGCTGTGAAGGTCCAGAGCTTCCAGCTGCATTTAAGGTCAGAATCAGAGGAGGAGAATGAAGATTTGCAGCAGGAAGGTCTACAAGCTTCAAACTATAAAACAGAGTCAAACACATTCTGGATAGACTAGTTTTAACCTCCTGAGTCTATAAACTCATCACTGCATCACTCAGGTAATCCAGACCATTTTATAAACAACATGTCTGATGTTTATTTACAGGATGCGCTGCAAAGCTGAGCGGCTTGTTAAAAAGCTGGAGGTTCATTGGTTTCAACTTTAGCAACATTTTTGTGAATGAGATTAACCGTCTCCCTCTGTAAATTTATTCCTCCAGCAAAAAAAAAGCTGACCTTTGACTGCAGACTGAGGTACGGCCACTGTTCTGTCAGATGAGCATACCCTGTCAGACCGGCATACCTATAGTCAATACCCATGAGCAAGACGCCAGATTTGCGTTCATCCCACTAATTTTGGACGAACAATAGACTTTAAACTAACTCAACATGTAACCCTTTAGTGATGTACAAACAAAAAAAAAATTTAAAGGTCAGATCGCCATATGCTTAAAAAAAGTAGATAATTAAATAGTTATCTTTTTTAATGTCTAAAGGGACACTCGCCCGTTCAGGTAGTTTAAAGTCTATTTTTCGCGCAAGGGATAAAGGGCTATTGATTATGGATATGCTGGTCTGACTGGGTATGCTCATCTGTCACAACACCGTCTCTTGGTTTTCTGTTTGTCTGTCACGTGAAATTAATTCTGCAATCAGGAGATGACAAAGAACTCAGAAACCTGTTGGCTAGGTCCCCGTCAATCTTTTATCTCGTTTGTTCCTGTCAAAGGAGTCGTCCTGTTCCGGCATCCAACCAACATCATTGCATCATGGCCATTTGGGACTCCCGTTCCCATAAAGAAAGTTGCTGATTGGTGCCCAGAGCAATGACCACTACTACTACTATTACCATCTGTAGACACTAGTTGATGTCGGCTCCCACGACTCACTGAAACTGAGGAAATACTAAACTAAAGTTTTTTTCCCCAGCTTTTATTGTCATTAGACTGTCACAGTACAGAGCAAAGAAATTAACTTGGGGAGCAGTGGGCTGCCATCGTGGGGCGCCTGGAGAGCAGTGTGAGGTTAAGGGTCTTGCTCAGAGACCCAGAGTGGCAGTCTGTGGGAGTGGGGCTCAAACTCAGAACCAAGGATTCCTAGCTCTATGCCCTAACCACTAGGCTGCCACTTCCCAGATCAGCGTATTTCTTATTTCTATGTCTGCCGCCAAAACATGTAGTAACTAGGGATGCACGATATAATCGGCTCCCTGTCTGTATCGGCCTTAAAACTGAATATGGGACATCGGCCACCACACCGATATTTAACCCGATATTTGATCAGCTTCTGAGTTTCTACAGTCTAAAATAAAATAAAAATACTACTACTTCTTCTTCCTCAAAAACTTCTTTTTCACAGACTTAAAAACTTCTAAAGACGAAGAAAAAAATATTGATACATTAAAATATCACAATATCTTCATATGCTGATATATTGCCATTTAAAAACACCATATCAATCTCTTTTACTAATGAAATATTGCTATATGTCATTGTTATGCTAAGAAATCCCCCGAAAATTCACGAAATGTTGCCATATTTTTATATGTTGATATATTGACGCGGTATCGATCTATTTTACTAACAAAATCTCACAAGAATTTGCAAAATATCACGAGAGTTTGTAACAGAACGATGAAATTTCACGAGATTTGGAAAGTAAAATAGATCGATACCGCGTTTTTAAAAATCAATTTGATATCAGCATATGAAAATATATTTGAGTATATTATTTTTCAAAGTGTCAGAAATGGATAACAAAACTGCTATTTTCAATGACTACTTATTTTTTTCCAGCTTTAACATCAGTATCGATATCGGTTATCGGCTACATGAGTTTTAAAATCAGCATATCGTATATCGGCCAAAATCCCAATATCGTGCATCCCTAGTAGTAACCACAGATAAAAGCAGTCATAAAACATTTATAAATAGTTTATTTTTGAAAATGAATCCCTGCTGCCTCACTGATGGACATTGGACGCGGGCTGCATGGTGAACATGACAATGCAGCACTTCTTCATCAGACAAGGAAAAAGAATTGATTCAAGTGTTTGGAGACAAAGAGTTCAAGGCCGGCAAACAAAGCTCCTCTGTCTCAGTAGGTTGTCCTGCCGGTGAAGCAAACAGTGGGCCATTAGCTAACGTTGCTCTACAGACTGACCGCATGGCCATACGTTGCCACCTTCAGCCCTGAGGTTGACCTTTATCCCTGCTGGCGGGAGCTATAGGCCTCCATTAGAACTGAGAAAGGCTGGGGCATGCTTCGGTGCGGCAGTGCATAACGCACATAAGCCATGTATGGAGGCCTTAGTCCAGGGATGTTAAAGTCAAATACACAGAGGGCCGGACTGGTTAAATGTTTATTAAAACATATTGAAATGAACATAACCTATTGAACCAAGACCTATATTAATATCAATATTATTAATAAACTTTTATTATATCAATAAACTTAAGATAAATACATAAATGAAAGTGCATTATTATAAACGGAAAATGAAATACTGTGCAGCTCTACGATCCTACCGATCACTGCTTTCAAATAGTAAGATAATTTTAAAAAATCAGTTGTATTCTCTCTCATGGCTCTTATCTGCCTTTTTCCCTGAGTCCGTTTAACTGAAAAATATGAATGAATAAAATAAAATACAAAATCTATGGCACAGAGGCAAAACAAAACTTCCTTAAAAAAATATAACGTCTTGTACAAAGAAATGTAAAAATGTTGTGATGAATCACAGCAGCAGACCCAGAATTCAGCCAGAGGTTCTTTAAAAAAGGAAATTATTAAACAAAAAGCAAAGCAATACCAAAAGGAACCAAAGAATCAAAAAGACTACAGACTACAAGTGTCAACAGAGGCAAAATTAAAGGAGCATGGATGAAGGGAGGGGTGATAGAGACGCACTGCAGGTGATAGAGACGGACTGCAGGTGATAGAGACGCACTGCAGGTGATAGAGACGGACTGCAGGTGATAGAGACGCACTGCAGGTGATAGAGACGGACTGCAGGTGATAGAGACGGACTGCAGGGGATAGAGACGGACTGCAGGGGATAGAGACGGACTGCAGGGGATAGAGACGCACTGCAGGTGATAGAGACGCACTGCAGGTGATAGAGACGGACTGCAGGTGATAGAGACGCACTGCAGGTGATAGAGACGCACTGCAGGTGATAGAGACGCACTGCAGGTGATAGAGACGCACTGCAGGTGATAGAGACGCACTGCAGGTGATAGAGACGCACTGCAGGTGATAGAGACGCACTGCAGGTGATAGAGACGCACTGCAGGTGATAGAGACGGACTGCAGGGGATAGAGACGCACTGCAGGTGATAGAGACGCACTGCAGGTGATAGAGACGCACTGCAGGTGATAGAGACGGACTGCAGGTGATAGAGACGCACTGCAGGTGATAGAGACGGACTGCAGGTGATAGAGACGGACTGCAGGTGATAGAGACGGACTGCAGGTGATAGAGACGCACTGCAGGTAATAGAGACGCACTGCAGGTGATAGAGACGGACTGCAGGTGATAGAGACGCACTGCAGGTAATAGAGACGCACTGCAGGTGATAGAGACGGACTGCAGGGGATAGAGACGGACTGCAGGTGATAGAGACGCACTGCAGGTGATAGAGACGGACTGCAGGTGATAGAGACGGACTGCAGGGGATAGAGACGCACTGCAGGTGATAGAGACGCACTGCAGGTGATAGAGACGCACTGCAGGTGATAGAGACGCACTGCAGGTGATAGAGACGCACTGCAGGTGATAGAGACGCACTGCAGGTG